TTTTGTACGCCAAGACGTATGCGCGCCTCTTCAGCAGTTCACCGACAGACGGAATCCCATATTATATTTAAATATAGGTTATAAGTCTAAAAAGTAGGCTAATGATTCACGTGGTGGTGATGAAATCGCTTATGGTGCCATTTACCATTTTAGTGGGTTTATCATGGATATTTCAGCGGCGTTTCTGCCATTATAAACATAATGCTAACATTTCGATTATTCGGTTCCAAAAGGTTGTGCACTAGGTCCGAAATGAAATAGGAGAGGTTTAAAAGGCGCACCGTCCGTCCCCTTTAAAACTACGAATTTCCCGTTGAGGAACTGCGAAAACTCACGGGCCGACTCAGAGAATGTTTCTTACAAGGAGGAGCAGCTTGCTGACGAGGGCGATGGAGCGAGCGTCCCAGCAGTTCGCTTCTGTTTGTCAGCCATTGAAAACGGGTCATCCTTAGAGTGCTGTTAATCCTCGCAGGCCCAGGTTCAGGGCCGCACAGAAGCGATATTTATTGCCTCTCGAAGCCGTGGCTAAGATTTTATTTCCGGCCAAATGCGAGCATGTTTCCGCGTATTATTGTTTATTTCCTTCATTCCGTCTTCCGTATCTGTTTATTTATTTTGTCTTCTTTCTTTCATTCCTTATTTCCCGCTTTCCATATGTCTTCTCTCTTCTTAACTCATTTTCCTTTTAATTTATTTCGTTATTTCATATTTTTCTCTCATCCGAGAGTGATCATGACTTTACTGACTCATCATGTAGGGAATAATTCTGGAGTCGACGAAACAGTGGTTACTCTGCCGTCGTCCGTTCTCTTCAGCAGAAATCCCTTCAGCAGGGTGCAAGGACCATCGCGGGGCTCCACACATTGTAGCACCCCAGTTCCCAACCCCCTCGGTGGATATGCATTCGTGTGCAGAAGTGACCTAAGCATCAGAGCGCCCTGCGGCGGGCAGTTAGACAGAGTGAGCGGGGCAGGTAGTTTCAACTTTCTCAGATTCACTCTGTACCAGCAGTAGGTAACAGGCAGGGCTCCGTGTCGGAAGATCCTGCTAGCTGCAAGTGGTGTGGACCACAAAGCAGGAGTAGAATCGTGTTTCATCAACTGTCAGCAACTCTCGATTTAACAGGGAATTTCTCCGGCAGATCACAGGGTTAATATTGTGTAGGCATAATTGTGCGTGTTCGTTTAGGAGTTTGATCGTTACAGGAATCAACTCTGTAACATTTACAAATGTTAATAGCAGTTACGTGTTTATTGTACACATCTTTCCGTCACAAATAAATAGCAGCAACTTTGTGGCGTTTAAGAAGTCCTTGTGGGTTTTCTGTGCACTCTTCAAATTATTGATAGTAGCAAGAAATTACTTTAAACCGTTTGAATTGAGTAGGTAATTGTTCGAGCGCCAGGTCTGCCAATTGATCATACAAGTTGGCACTACATTTCGGAGAGTGGAGAACCTTTGCTTTCATGCCATTGAGCTCTGTGATTGATTAGGGACGCTCCAAGTGTGGACGTATGAATGAGTGGATCTTCACTGGACCCTGAAATGGTCCTATTTAGAAGTTCACTGGTTACAGCGAGCGATTGATTGCCTGCAGCTACGGCAGGAAGTGGAGGAATCGTGGACAAGGCATTTGACGATAGTTAAGGGATTTCTGTCTGCTGAGAAGTATTTTGAAGTGTTGCTTCTTATTTGTGAATGTTTAAAGGAAGTTAAATATCATCTGAGCTACTTCAAGAATATGGCGTGTGCACAGCGAAGTTAATTGAGAATGTTAGTTTCGAAGCGGTTGTTTGTTGTTGTTGTTGTTGCTATTGATGGACTCAATTTATTCCTGAAAACGCGACGAGAGTAGTTATACACATTACAACCTTTCTCTTTTATTTGATCCATGTAAACTGTTTTAAATAAGAGTACAGATAATTGTAACGGAGTTTGAATGTATGACTCACTGGGACTGAATAGCAGAACAAGAACTTTATTGAATAATTGCGAGAAAAAAAGACATTTGATGTAAAACAGTTGTGACATGTTGTAATTTAATATCTAGCACAATCCTGAAAATATTACACAAATGCCTTGTCTTCACACTTTTACAGTGCCGATGCTGTAATAAATCCAAAATACTAAGAAATATGCGTTGTTCAAAAGTACAGGGCCAGTGTATTGTGAATTGGTCGTCAGATGTTTTGTGTGAAGACGGAAGGAACTTCAAGAAACGAGACTCATATTCCGTTGTTGCAAGTCTGATGTGGTGGTGATTGTGGTGAGACAAGATGTGTGGTGATCGTTCTCACGAGGTGATGTGATGATATGATGATGTGACAAACATTATGCTCCAGTCTCGCTGCTGTTGCCCTGGCCGACGGCTCCGAGTGCTTTGTCTTCTGGCTGTCATCTCCGTCCTGCAAAGCAACGGAAGCTTCAGGTCAATATTGCATTATATTATTCGTAATACTGATGTCAGTGAGAAGTGTCCGCGAAACCTTCAGCGGACAGTGGTAACTATGTGTACACGCCTCTGTAACGATAAATAACTCGGCATTTTGCTCACAAATTGTTTGCTGGTTTCATTTAGTTATCAGTCCGTTCACATAATTATATCATCTTTGTAACTCTTGCAGAATCTAATATGACCTGTGTTACGTACACCTACAGGACATCAATGCTTTTCCGTTGATGAGAGTTGTCCCACGTTTCAATTGGAAAGGAAAATTTGACAGAAGTTTAAATGGCCGCGTTCAGTTAAAAATATTTTCGTTTGTTTTGTAGTAAGTGGATTTAAAGCTGAATTTACCTCACTGGATTATCATACCTTAACTTAATAGCAGTTAAGACGAATTCTTCTTTGCCAGATGTTGTACGACACTATCTTGTTATCTGTTCTTGACTTTTCCATTCGGAGTCTGAATTGTGCGAATCTTCTTTGACATTTTTGAAAATGAATCAAACCAAGTGTTGGCAGAGGAATTTCTTCCCTGACAGATACAATGGTTTCACCGTGGTTCGGTGTCCTACACCTCGTCTGTAAAAACAAAACTGGGTGCACTGAGTGAATACGAAATTTTTGTTATTAAGGCACGAGATTACGTCATTGCTATTCTGAAATATTTGAAGTTTAAACCAATGAATGCTTAAAAACCTTTCAGGATCTGCAAAATTGCAGAATCAGAATGAAATTTGGGGACACGTTAAATAATGTATGAGAACATCCCATCTGTTTGTTGTCGCTAATTAACGCTGATATTGTTTTCCAGAACACACCATTTTATCGTGAGTTATGATATGTATTATGCCCTTACGTGTTTCGACACTGTTTTATGATTTCAGGCTGTCATACTTATGTTGCTTGTTGCCCCATTGTTTTGTACTGTGCATACTGTCCTGTACAATTAAACGAAATCTTATTATAATTTGACTAAATGGATCCATTTGACAATATTCTTTCATGGGAATGTTGTTAATCTATTTACTTTTACGTATATTGAATTTAAGCTTATATTCATTTTACGCTTATCGACTGCCGTGTGTTATATTCAACCTATAACATGTGTTTACTTTGGTTTCCAATTTCGCCGCTGTTTTAAACCTTAAGTTATATGTATTCTTATAAATACTCGAAATAGATAATTTTGTCTCACAGTTGTTTATTACTTTTATGTGCACGTAGTGAAATTTAATTTAAAATGTATTTAATCAAAATTAGGAGTAGGAAAAATGCAGCGTACTCTTTAAATATTTCTTCCTCCGTCTTTCTGGCCAGTCTTGATCTGTGCACCCCTTTTTGTTGTCATTGCTGTAAACTTAATTTTATGTACGTTATATAACATTTTTTACTGGTTATGTTGGCAAGTTGTAAACAAGCATGAGAGACAGCGTAGCCTGAAGATCACACACGTGCAGAAACATGTATTAGCCTCATAATATAAATCATAACAAAATGTTATGTAGATGGAAACAGTATTAATATTGAGTAACCATAGATATTTTCCTTCGAACTTCTTGCAATATTCATGCAGACTGCAAGTGGGACTGGCTGGTCAGGTGTTGAGGGTGTTAAATGCTCGGGCTTGGATTGCACGATCTTCTTATTAATTTGTATTTCGTCTGTTTTAATTTAATCTCAGCCCTAAATCTGTGGTGTTACTAGCCGTTGCATGTAGTGGTGTATTTATTTTTGATACTTCATAATATTTTTGAGGTTGTAATAATGGAAGAGGAGGTAGTTCGGGTCGAAATGTTTTATGTCTGTTGTTAATATCATAATTATAAGTAAAGGTATGGCGCTGTTAGAATGCCGGTCAGTCAAAAAGAAGGTTCTGTAATTTATTCATCTGTGTTGTGGCCTACGGAACACGGGCATGGGTCTTCGTCAATGCCTCAGCAAACGGCCCATCGCCAAGTGTTCGGTGTCGTGAAAAACAACGTTGTTTCTAAGTATGGTTTGATATTTTTTCGGTACGATGAGTCCGAAGATGGCTGTCTTCTGGGTTGTAACGCCGTGTAGTCTGGTAGAAGTTTACCGACGTTTCAGAGGTCCATCCGTGCTCATCGCCCTGATAATGGAGGAACGGCTCTACAACCCAGAAGACAGCCAACGTTGTTTCTACTTGAATGACTATAGCTTTCACGTAGGCCTACAAGACACGTTTGGGGCCACTGAAATCTGCACGGACTGTCGATTTTATGATCGCCCTAACAAGTTCGATCTTAAAACAAATTATCGATGTTGTCGCCAGGAAGACGAAATACGATCTCGAGGTGACAGCTCCGATGGATATTGGTGTAGATCCTTAGCTAAATGACCAGGTGTTAGAGATGTCTTTTTGTAACGCAGCAGCCGACATTTTAATGAGGTGTGAACATGTTGCTCCCGCTATATCAGTTTTTCGGTGCGGCTTCTCCAGAAGACGTTTAGTCTGTTTGACAGTTTCCTCCAAATCTACATGGAAGGCCTGGCATGTGCTATAAATTAAGTACCGCATTATGACCCGTCAAAGTTTGCGGGAATGATACCCCTTTGTGTTCAACAGCAATGCAATTAATTGCTGCATTATGTTTGCAAATCGCATTGAAAGTACAAAGTTAACGAGAAAATTCTTTGTTAAAATATCTTCACGGCGACTGAAGCGAGATTCCTGCCAAAATGCACTAACACAAAACCTAACCTAACCTGACTCCAAACTCAGTTAATAATTCTTGTATTGTTTAATGATGCTGTTTCAGTTATATAATCTGTATATGGCCAAATATTAGTGGAAAGCGGTGACTAAATTCAAGGAACAGAAATCTTTTTGAGAAGCTAATAGTTGCTCAACTAGCTCAATGTTCCGTATTTTATGTAATTCGAGCGCTCATTACGATCAATTGAATAAAATTTTTGGATATTATCCATCGTCTAGTAAATATAAAACGTAAAACGACGTTTCGGAGATGGGACTCTATCTCCGTCTTCAGGTTCCTACACAGTTGGGCCCACTAGATAGAGCTAATCCCTATCTCCAGAGATCGGGATCCCATCTCATTACGATGTTTATGAGAGTTCGCCACTGGGCCTTATCCTGAGCCAGATGACTCTAGAGCCCATTTCCCGTTTCTTTAAGGAACGTTTTCAAGAACGTGTGTGTTCCTGTACCACTGACCCCACGCAGTGTTCGACAGCAGCGGTGGGTCGAAGGACTTCGCGGTTTCCTGTTTGCATCCTGAAGAAGCTTTCCGGTCCCCGTTTTATCCCGTCCGTGTAAAGCCGCTTCTGAAAGATGTCGCAAAATGACGCATATCCCACGAATCACACACTTCGATAATCTTTTGTTGTGGACGAGCATTCATAAGAGGCGCTCAAGTGTGGAGTCACACAGTCATTGGAGCATATTTTTGCATTTCAACAACAAGAGAAGCAGGACAATGGGCAGTGGTAAGCGAAATTCGCTTAGTTGCGTTCCAGTGGTCAGTTCTGTGTCACTGTGTCAACATCCATTGCTGTTTGTGGACCGGCTGTTATGAAACAGACTTCCGACATAGCAGGTTCTAACGGAAGTCTGAAAACCACGTGATCGGAAGTGTCATCTGATACACTAGCTTCTTATAGTGGTTAATTGTATCGATAATATTTAAGGGTGTCCGAGGCGTACGGGGAGTGGAGGTAAAGCTCCGGTTATTCTTCATCTCGACGCTGAATGGAGGCAAGTGGTTAGCTTCACGACAAGTTGACAGAACGCAAAGAGACTTACTCTCCCCATCCAAATAATAAATCGACTGTATAATAGCAAACCTGTTACTTGATGACGAGTAGACCGGATTTCCGAAACGCCTTGTAGGCCCGTGTATGTTTATCAGACAGGCCGATGTGTTCGACAACTGACTCGGGACGTTGTTATTTTTTAAGCGTCTGGTCTGCGGTCAGTTCGTACACCGTGTTCACGTGTTGATACGGTTCTTCGCGCAAGACCAGGTGAATTCAAGTACCGGTAGCGCATGTCGTGAACTGTCTAGACAGGATAGAAGGTATGTAGAAAGTATTGGAGGATTACAAAGAAGGAAACAGTAAGAATGCTGAACAGTTCAGCTGAAATCGATAGATTCAGGATGCTGGAGGCTGAAGGGTTAGAGTCGGTGCAAAATAAAATAAAAACAAGTTAGGAAATGTGCGCATAGCTTAACAATCTGTCACGTTCTCCGGAATTTGGAATCTGCGAATGTCTCCACTGACGTCACTTGTCTAGGAAAGATGACCTTTGACGGAGCCTGGTATCTGGCGCCTATTTGGATGGGTGATGACGTCACCACGGATCCACATAGCTTCGCGAATGGCCGGGAATTACTCAAGTAACCAAGTTATCCACCGCAACCAAAGTTACTTATCAGCCCAAGGTAACCATGGTAACTATACATCTGTGGTAACCAAGGTAACACGGAGAGTCCTCAGGCGAAGATAATAGGCTAATTTTGGCAAATTTCAGTTGCGAACGCGCCATAAATTGCAGAAATCATCAGTGGGTTAGTCAGCCTCTGGGGAAAGATTCAAACACCTCCCAAATACCAAGCAATGGTGCTAATCACTCACCCTCGACTTTCGATCGAATTAAGTAGACTTTGTTCAGAGGACGGAAACTGAAACATGGTGTCATGATTATGTAGAAAGAATCGGAGAAGACTCCAAAGGAACCAGTTTGCTGGACATCAACTGGAAGACGTCGGAAGGAAATTATTCTCGTTGCAGGGAATCGAAATGAAGGTACTCGACGCTGTTTCGCTTTCAGAGGTTGCGTTATGGAATAGGACGGAGATGTAAGCGACTGCATGAATGTGAAATGGTTAGGGTTTAAATTACCTTAGTCAGGGAGTATTTCAAGAGATTATGCCAGCATTTGTCAGTAAATATGGAGACAGGGGAAGATGACGTGAAACGCCAATACCTACCTAAGACAA